ATTAAAAACGTCTGGCAATTCTATTAAAATATAAATTCTATTAAGTTATTAATGAAAAGAGATATAAAATTGCTTGAGAAAATTTCCATTTCTGTTTCTGTATCCACACGTAAGTGATACGAAGAGTTTGCTTTCGAAATAAAATACGTACGATTTACATTGGAATAAACTAGGACTTCTAAGTGTCAGTACCTCTTGAATAATGTTGGGAGAATTAGAGCCGATGAGAGAGGTCCGAAAATATAGCTGTTACTTATAATTTTTCGACAAGAATGCCAGATGACATATTTGCGATACATATTTATAGACAACCCACCTTTCTTGATGTTTTTCAGGATTTTTCAAGTGTGTTTCTGTCCCATATGTCTCTGCTAACATTTCTTTTTGCCCCGCCTCAATACGTTACACACAAAGTCATTTTAGCATTGATAACTGATCTGCTTTATCGTTTTTTATACTGGCACTTGTGCTTATATCACATTTGTGCACGTGCAATTTTATAATGAAAGGTTATCTTAAATTAATGTAACGTAATCATATTTGTTCAATTTTTTTTTTATGTTAAGATAGATAAGCATACATCATAAATAAGACTTCCATGAATATAGCAAGCCTTATTATTTGTACAATTTGCAAAAGCATATGTCAAATTTATCATCGCTTTTTCAGGTTATAGAATTGGAAAGAAAGAATTTAATTTTTAATAAAAGCATTCCATAGGAAAGAAAGTGAAATTTTTGATTGTGCATGACATTAATTACAAATTACTATTTATATCAAGAGCAGGCATAATTGTTATTGTTCACTAATTACAATTATTACATTTGTTATTATGTATTCCTTTAAAATGATGAAATACCTTTAGTGTTCTTATTTTTAATGTGCATTATACGGATATATATTTGTATCTTGAGCGACTAATATAAGTTTCTTTATTTCTTCGAAACGATTTCTAGAATTAAAAATAGAAATAGAAATTTATATAATTAATTTTACAAAGTCATATAGAATTTAAAAC